TTTTTTTTTTTTTTTTAAAGAAATCTATAACACTTTTTTTTGCTTTAATAACTTTAAAAAATTAAATCGTTTTTGACTTTTTGCACTGTCCCAACTTCAATTTCCAACGGATTAAATCACTTCTAGTTGCGTTTACAAGCGTATATTTTGTTGAAATTAAATAGCAAAGACAAAGACAAAAATGAAAAAGACAGCAGAAAAAAGTGGTCGTCAAAAATACATTCGTCTTTAAAAGCAGACGATTTTTTGTGCCTGCTGAAGAAAATGTCTTAAAAGATAAAACTTTGTTTTCCTGTCCAAATACTTTATTTTCTTTCCAGGAAACCTTCTTCAAACTTGCCACTCCTTTGCATATCAGGACAATGAACGGTGAAGCCAAGAGGTGTTTGTAGGAAAAATGAGCAAAGAAATTCTATGCAGTTTAATTTACGAGACTTCTATTTACCTGGAAATGATTGGGTTAACTGAGCGTTGACGGACCAGATACGTCATTGTTGTTGCTCGACCATCGGAGATGACTGAAAAACTGACAACAACAGATGGTTCATCAAACCCGTCTACTGCTTCATTTATCCGTGCAACCAGAGTTCAGCATAGTTGTCTTTGTATACGTATTTTGCCGTTTATTTAAAGCATCATAAACTGGTTTAGCATCTCATCCAATTTTTTGATTTGTTGGTCCAACATTTCTGTTTTTTCTTCTCCATCTTCTAACAGTTCTTCTTTTTTGAATATAATTTGCAAAATTAAGTCAATATACTGTTGCTGGATACGAATCAGCAGAATATTGACATCAATTTACAAGCAGTTAATCATAAGCTTGATCTACTAGAATTTCAAAACTTTCTTCTTGCACAGTTTATCTGAGTAACAATTTAGAATCAAAATTCTTGTCTAATTGCTGTTTATTGTTTTTGTTACACATAATAAACTCACTTTTGCTCTTCGGTCGATTGAGCAACTTTTTATAATGAACTAAACAAAAATTTTTTATGCTTAGCATCTGATAAATTTTGTATTAGTTTCTCATTTCATTTTTATTTCTGTCTTCTATTCCTTTTTTCTTTCTCTTGCCAATTAAAAGTTTTCAAACAAATATTTAAAAAATTATTGATGATCAGCAGTAAAATCTACAAGAAAAAAAAATTGGGTGAACAACAGAAAGACGACGAATACTTCTTTGAAATTTACACACATAGAACAGTATCGTTTTCAGAAAAATCCATTTAAAAATGATTGAACTTTTTGATTGAATTTTTAGGAATTGTATATAACGTCGATGAAATGCGTATTGGAATGAGTTTTTTTGAAGATAATTAATGTGAAAAAATTTACCTTTATTTGTACTGTTTAGAAGTGAATTTTTATTTCTGTGTACAATATGTAGAATACGTATTCCTACGTCAAATTTAACTCTTTTTTATTTTTTGCTCTTTGATTTCTTACAATTTCAAAAACAATTTTTTTAAACGTTTTTTTAGTTCTATCAAATTATATTGATACTGTTTAATTTTGATATTACAAAGACTTAGCGTAAAGTTGATTGATATGCCTTTTACAGTTGCTGTAAAGCTGCTTTTTAGCCACTTTTTAGCCGCAGTTTTCAGCACCGCAATAACAACTAAAAAATTGATGAAAAATTTGTCAAAAAGAATAACGGAGTAAAACTGGAAAGAAAAATCCGTGTTGGAAATAGAAAATATCAGGAAATACCTTCTTTTTTTTTCCCCCCCCCCCTCTCCCCCCCGCTGCTTACGTTGCAAAACTGCCTTTTTTTTACGGTTGTTTACATTTATCAGATTACATGCAAACTATTTTCAATTTTTTTTTGTCAAGCTTAAAATTGATAAACCATTTAGAGAGGGGGTTTTTTTGGTCGTTCCAACTCGGTACAAAATTGTAAGGCTTTCTTAAGACGACGCAAAATTGGGTAAACGACGAAAGAAAAAAAATGATGGGGATGAAGAAGCCCTCCTCCCCCCACCAAAAAAAAAAAGTAGGAAAACAAAATGACGAATCGTAGAAGAAAAAAAATTGTTGTTGTTTTGAACGGTATTCCTTCATTTTTTTTTTTGCTCACTGCAATTTTAATGGTT